AGGGAAGAGGAGGCTGCCCTCCTTAGCAAATTCAGTCAGAAGTAGGACCAGTGGGCTAGAGTTCTAGCAGGCATGTTTTGCCTGGCTACCAGTGGTGAGGGTGGGTGGGGGTCACCTGCTGTGCCATCCGGGTGCTTCCTGAGACAGTAGGAGGCTGTGCTCACTAGCTGAGTTCCCACAGAAGCAAGACCACTAGCCTGGAAGCTCTATCATGTGTTGCTTGCCTGGTTATTAGCAGCAGGCATGGATGGGGTTTCCCACCCTGCAGTCAGGATGCTCCCTGGGACAACAACCACTGGCTGAGTTCACATGGATGCGGGACCACTGGGTTGCAAGGTCTAGCAAGTATTGCCTGCCTGACTACCAGTGGCATGGGGGTAGGGGGTCGAATGGGATAATATTTCCCAGGACAAGAAAAAGCTGTGCCCTCCAGCCGAGTTTACACAGAAGTGGGACTGCTGGCCTATGCAGTTTTGCTTAACTTATTTTTCACCCTCTGAGACACAGTGTCTTTTCGATAAGTTTAGAGTAGCTGCTACTTCTTGCTTACTAGATCTAATCAGCGTAATGTCTTTAATGTAATGGATCAGTGTGATATGTGACAGAAGGAAAAGATGATCAAGGGCCAGGCATGGTAGGTCACGCCTGTAATCCCAGCACTTTGGGAAGACGAGGCAGGAAGATCACAAGGTCAGGAGTTCAAGACAAGCCTGGCCAACACAGTGAAACCCTGTCTCTACTAAAAATACAAAAAATTAGCCAGATGTGGCAGCGGGTGCCTGTAATCTCAGCTGCTTGGGAGATTAGTGCAGGAGAATCGCTTGAACCCGGGAGGCAGAGGTTACCCTGAGCCAAGATGATGCCATTACACTCCAGCCTGAGCAACAGAGCCAGACTCTTCCTCAAAAAAAAAAAAAAAAAAAAAAGATCAAGATCCCTGTGAACTAAATTATGCCGTAGTCCTGATGAATTAATATACCTCTTAGGTACATCCTATATCTGGCTTTGCCATCTGAAAGCAAACTGCTTATGGTGATCTTTACCGTAAGATATGTAAAAAATAAGTATTTGCCAGTTTAACAGTGCCTATCAAGTACCAGGGGATGTGTTAATTTGTTCAAGCAATCATAGCACATCTGGTATAAAAGCTGCAATTAAATTCATCACCTGGCTAAGCTTACAATATTCCCATTATTATCCAATATGAACTGGTCTTTTGCAGAGGACAAAAAGGCAAGTTAAATGGGGATATGGTGGGAGTCACCACCTCTGGTTGCTTTAAGACCTTGATTGTGGCACTAATCTCTGCAATCGCTTCTGAAATATGCTATGGCTTTTTGCTTACTATTTTTCTAGGTAGAGGCAGTTCTAGCGACTTCCACTTGGCCTTTTCAACCACAAAGCTCTCACTCCACAGGTCAGAGAACTAATGTGAAAATTCTGCCATTTGCTGAATATATCTATTCCAGTTAGGCATTCTGGGGACTGGGGACATTACCATAGAATGGATTTGAGACCCACTGGACCTCTGGTGAGGTGAAACGGTGCTAAAACTTTGTCGTTTACTTGACCTCCATGAGTGCCTAGTTTGTTTGGTGAGACACAGTGACATTTTGAGTTTCCTGGAATTAGTATCTGTTCAGAACCAGGGTCTAATAAGCCCCCCAAAGGTTTATTTAATATTTTTCCCAATGCACAATGACTCTAGTGAAAAGTCATAGTTCCCTTTGGGGAAGGCTGAGAGAAAGATTAACAGTGTCAATTTTTGGCAATGTAGTGGGGTTCTTCCTCTGGAGGACTGAAGCTTTTCTTCACTGGTGAGGTTCCGAGTCCAGAAACTGGCTCAAATTTAGAAACTGATTGAGAGCCTATGAACCATGAGGTGCCCAAATAGTTGATCAAACCCTAGATTAAATGTTACCATCAGAATATATTTAGATGAGATTTACATCTAAATCAGTAGACTATGAGTAAAGCAGATTATCCTTAAAATGAGTGGACCCTATTCAATCAGCTAAAAACCTTAAGAGCAAAAAATACAGAGGTGCTCCCCCAAAACAGGGAATTCTGCTTCCAGACTGCTCTCAAACTGGACCTAAAATGATCAACTCTTCCATGAGTCTATCCTGCAGTTTTGTTTTTTTTTTACTCGATAACTTCCACATTTGCATGAGACAATTTTTTAAAAATCATTCAATCTCTTTTTCTCTCTTTCATTTTAGATATAGATATATGGTGTCTCTGGAGATCCTTTGGCTAATACAGGGTCTAGGAATGTACCATGTATTCAGTGGTTCTCAGTGGCAAAGTTACACTGATAAGAAAAGCAATGTCCTACTTCCCACGTCAGAGAGACAAATGAGTCACTTGAGTTGGAGGGTACATAGCTTGGAAAGAGGGACAACAGAGCATAGTAGCAACCATGAGTCTGAGATTACAAACAGACCCTGCACTGGAGAACATGGATGAAGACGTTGACAAGCGTCATCCTCAGCCAAAATGAAAGGTCCCTGGAGTACCATACCAAAGAGTATAGATCCTGTGTCTACTCCAGTGAGGATTTCTTGCTCCCATGTCTACAATTTCTGATCCTCGTTTGGTGATGACTTTATTTTATTCAGACAATGCCTACACATTGTCTGAATAATCCTATCATCTGAAAGCTCCTTGTGCCTTGAGATTCTCCTGAGAGAGAACTCACCTCACACTGAGAACATGAATATGCCTAATTAATAGTCCATCATAGACCTGAGGTCTCAGAATAGATGACATAATTGCTACTCAGAGGTTTGGAAGTCACGGAGAGGGGAACACCCTAGAACTGGTACACAGACAGAGAGAAAATCCACAGTTGATGTCCATTAGCCTTTTTGAGCACTGGTTGCCTTCTCCAGCCCTTTACTGAGACGAGGGAGTATAGCTCGGAGTAATTCATAAACCTCATATTATTTTCAGCTGAGAGATTCATTACTAGGGCCAGGAACATCTGTTTAAAAGAATCCTTCAGTGTGCAGATCTTTTCTGTTGAATATACAAATTCAAGTCTTTATTGTTTCGTAATTGAGTACTTCATCCTGAACTGTGGGACTTGGTTTTCCAGGAAACAAAAAGGCATTAGTGTCCTGGGAGAATCACTTGTCAATAATTCAAGTTAGTCCAGACTGTTTCTAATGAGTGAAAGCCTCCATCTTCAGAGCACTGGGTGACAGGAAGGCAGAGGTCAAAGGGAAAATGTATAGCTTCAGTCTCCTCAGTTTTCCTGGATGGTGCTGAGGCAGGCGTATATGCATACACATACAAAATCACTGAAAATATTCACCTGGGAATCCCTCCTCTGACTAAAGTTACCACAAAGACCTTAACATTTCTGTGACCAAGCAGGGTCAAGAGCAGAGACAATTTGATGAGACAGCCCATTAAAGAAAAAAAAATTCGTCTAAAAACTTGGGAAAGAGTTGGAAATAAAAATGCCAATAGACACAGGGATCCTACCATGCCCTTCATAAACATCCACGGCAAAAATAATTCTCCCCACTGAACAAGGAGAGCAAGTATGTTTTTCTTCATTTATGAAAATTACCATGCCCTTTTACCTTAATAAAAAGAGTGAGGCTGACCTGTGCTCACAATTCACTTATGGATACCACTGTTGAGAAATGCCACATGTACTTCTGACATTATACGCATCACTGTGCATAATGCATTTTTAAAACTCAGCAAAAAGAAAAAATTTAAAATTAGAGCACTCAGAAATACAAGAAACAATTTAGGCAGCTATGAAGTGATGAAGAAAGATCTTTTTCCCATTTATAGACACTTATTTTAAAACTTTCTATAGGCTGAGCAAGGTGGCTCACGCCTATAATCCCAGCACTTTGGGAGGCCGAGGTGGGTGGATCACGAGCTCAAGAGATCGAGACCATCCTGGTAAACATGGTGAAACACCGTCTCTACTCAAAGTACAAAAATTAGCTGGGCATGGTGGCGCACACCTGTAGTCCCAGCTACTCCGGAGGCTGAGGCAGGAGGATTGCTTTAACCCAGGAGGCGGAGGTTTCAGTGAGCCAAGATCGTGCCACTGCACTCCAGCGTGTGTAACAAGAGTGAAACTCTGTCTCAAAAATAAAAAAAATAAATAAAATAAAATATAAAACTTTCTATAAGTAAAACCTGATTCTTAATTTAGTTATTCTATTTCTTAAAACAAAGTGAGAATAAGAACTTTGAAAATAAACTATTACATATTCTTAAAAATCATTGATTTCAGTCACAATGAAAGGGAATCAAAAATTAATAGACACCATAATGAGGCTGGGAATGGCCTTTTCACACCTGTAATCCTAGCACTTTGGAAGGTGAAGTGGGCAGATCGCTTGAGCCCAGCGGTTCAAGACCAGACTGGGCAACATAACGAAACCCTGTCTTTACCAAAAATACAAAAAATTCCGAGGGCTTGGTGGTGTGCACCTGTAGTCCCAGCTACTTGGGAGGCTGAGATGGGAGGATGAACCCTGGAGGTGGAGATTGCAGTGAGCTGAGATTGTGCCATTACACTCAGCTTGGGTGACAGAGACAGACCCTGTATCAAAAACAAAACAAGAAAAAGACACCATAATGGATTGCCACTTATGTACTAGAAATAAGTGAAGTTATTAAAAGTACTCAGTTGTTTAATTTTTTGAAAACCACATCAGCTAATTTTCATTATTATAATTTTTTACAAATAAACTGAACCCCGCATAATTCAGTTTGATAAAAACTAATATGTAGCAATACTAGAATTATAATAAAATCATAAATATGTGTGTGTATTAAATATCGAAGGCAGAATTGAAACAGAATTTTGACAGAGGTATATGAGACCTAAAAAATGAGATTCAGTAAATCCAATCCTAGTTTCCTGGAAGGTACAACCTGTTCCATGTGACATTAACAGAGCTTATGTTTTTCAGTAATTTGTAGAACCAATACTTACTAGGTTGAAATACTTAGATAGATGCTTTATACTTCAGGAATTTATTTTTTCACAATGATCCAAAGTATTAGATGAAGTTTGTTTTATTTTGCTTTTAATTGACAAATAATAAATGTACATATTTATGTGGTACAGTGTGAAGTTTTGATACATGTATACATTGTATAATAATCAAACCAGAGTAATTAGCATTCCATCACCTCAAATATGTCATTTCTTTGTGATGAGAATTTTAAAAATTTTCTCTTATAGCTACTTCAAAATATGTTCTCGTTAACTCTACTTATACTACTATGCAATAGAACATTAGAACTTATTTAAGGTAAAGTTTTTAATACAAAAGTTATTTTAAGAAAATAAGTACAGACTGGGCATGTCGGCTCACACCTCTAATCCCGGTGCTTTGGGAGGCTGAGGCGGGTGGATCACCTGAAGTGAGGAGTTTGAGACCACCTGACCAACAGGGTGAAACCCCGTCTCTACTAAAAATACAAAATTAGCCAGGTGTGGTGGCAGGTGCCTGTAATCCGAGCTACTTGGGAGGCTGAGGCATGAGAACTGCTTGAACCTGGGAGGCAGAGGTTGCAGTGAGCTGAGATTGCGCCTTTGCACTCCAGCCCATCAACAAGAGTGAAATTCCATCAGAAAAAAAAAAAAAAAGAAAGAAAGAAAGAAAAGAAAAGAAGCATAGCTATTTAAGTATGTTATTCACAGTTACACTGCTGATGGAGAGACAGGAGTCATACTCAGATACTGTAGTTACAAAACCTCTACACTTAGAGTATACCTTTTATGATATTTTTTCTTTAACTCTTTGACGAGTAAGAGTGTAAACTGACACAGGGCTAAGGACTCATTCTTTGGTGAGCAAATACTACAAGATGATATAGAAAGGCTGTTGAAAAGCTTTTCTTTGTCTTCTTAGCCAGTGTCAGAGGCAATTGGGTGGTAAATATTTGGCAGAAGTAATACCTAAATAGTGGTCTCATTTTATGAAGTATAGGTCAGTTTTCCTTGGCAGTATGGAAAATGATGAAAAAAATTGCTATCAAATGTCAATAAAATATTGGGTAGAATATGACACAAAGCAATTACTACATTTACGGAATAAAATTTTTAAAAAGGGAGAAGGGAGACAAGAAGAAGAAGATGGTTAATATGGTGCAAATGAGTTCAGGTGTATGAGATGCCCCTGGGTAAGAGGTGCTGTACAGAAGCGGCTGAGTGTGTAAGATGGTTCAAGACCTTGGTGAGCACAGAGTCATGGGTAATTCACACGTCATAGGATTGAAATATGGAAATACAGGATAAGAAAAATGACAGTCAGAAAACTTGTAGATGAGAAATCCATTGCTTGTGACATTGAAGAATGAGATAGTGCGAGCCTCATAGTCTAGGAAAACTCCGACCCGATTAGGACAAATAGTCATAAAGAGGGGCACGATCAAAGGAGGAGAAAGAGTAAGGCGGGAACCAGCCAGGAAATCACGAAATTCAAATGAACTCTGGAAAGCCCTATAGTTACCTGCATTCCGTAACCCTATAACCCAGTAGCCATTTTTAGGTTGATAATTTTCAGTTCCTGAAACACTCTGATTTGCAGTACATTTCAAGCTAACACATACCCCCAGGGTCCAAGCCCTTTTATTGGACACGTCTACCTCCCAGTAATGTTTCCCTGATGTGATACTTGGGGAGCCCAGGACGCCATAAAAATACTGGACTTTCACAAGTAGGTGACGTATAGGTTTCTGATATCTCACTTGTCTCCCATCTTCAGAAATGATAGTATATGAAGGGTGACTTGGAACCAGTGTCACATGAGCTGTAGAAAAATTAACAGGTCAGGTAAAGGATATAACGTAACTTTGTTACATTATATATAATGTAACTTTAGGAGGGGTAGGTTATGTGTGTGTCAGAAGAAGAAATATAAATCTTAAAACATGAGACCTAATAGAATAAAACATAAAATTCTTAAAAGATAAACATAATAATAATGAGTAGGCACTGGGTGGCTTACAATAATGTGATTTCTCCTTACCCCAGTAGCGTTGGACTTCTGTCAGTTCTGAAATGATAAAAATGCATAATACTGAATACAAGTAAAAGGAGTCAGCACTGAAATTCATTTTCTCTCCAGATTAGGGAAAGAGTAGGCATACCCTATGGTAGGGCAGTAAACTGGTGAATGACAGGGTGAAACAGCCACCTAGCCATTTCCCATTAAATATAATCCCATCAGCAGCAGATAATATCCATCTTCCCCTATCCCTTCTATCCATGTTTGGAAACCACACCCTCTTCTCCATTTAGCACCCCGACACAACTTGAATTCCACAACCCCGCAGTTGAGCCAGCTCTCCTCACCTTTTAACACTTGGAGCATTCTTTTCAGATCAGGAGCTCGAAATACTCTCCTTTTTTCATTAAGGAAGGTTTTTGGCTTCTGCAAAGTCACTTTCTCAATCCTAAAAATTAAACAACAAAAAAAATGCCTTCCCTTCCAAATCTCTGATCTTATGTCCCTGGAACACCCCTGACTTCCTATCATTTCAGCCCATCGATGCACTTGAACTCTCTTCTTGGGGGTCCTGAGAAGAGAGAGTGCAAACTCTTTGACTCTGGAGCCAAACAAAATGTTCTCATTTGCCTTCCCACTTACTTTCTGTGAGAACATGGGAAGATCTTAACCTCTCAGAAGTACACTTTCTGTCTTCCAAAATGAAATAATTAACCTTTCCATGTCTACCTTCTTAAACTCATAGGACATTAAAAGGGGGGGGGGGGGTGGATTTTAAAACAAAACAAAACTTTGGTGCCTTACAAAAGAAACTCTAACATTCAATGGGTGGAAACATCATCACTATGTACATGAGTTCCCAGGGAGATGGCTAGAAAGTGAGGTTGCAGAACCTGGATCCTGGGGGTTTGAGACATCTCAAGAGAAGAATCCTGTTTGGAGAGGCATAAGACCTTCAAAGCTATTTCCAATAGGGAGGTACTCAGATAACATCTGAGGTTTCAGATTTCCGGGAAAAATCACAAACACTTGGCAAATGAGATATTATGTATGAACCAAACCAATACTGGTCTGAATTTTATGTCGTTAGAAAGAACTTGATACCACCAGATAGGTATACAATTTTAGACAGAAATAACACCTTTTTATACTCTTTTAAATAATGCAACTGAGGTGGATCAATTCTTTGTAGCATGACCACATACTATCCAGAATGTTATTTTGAAATATTATTCCAGAAATAAACATCTGATTTTGGAAATCTAATTAGAAGTAAAGAAGGAACTGTTTTGTTTCCAGGAGGAAAATATAAATATGAGGGAATTGTCCCAGTGGACAATTATGAGTATATGGCAGAAAAAGAAGACAAGGCTCTTTCAAAATAAATCAAGTATCTATTAAATACAGAAAAAAGCTGGATGTAGGTAATAAAATGGTGATGATGCAGGGGTCTGATACTGCAACACCTTATCCATAATATCACTGCTGAACCACACACTGAGTCTCCACCACCCAAATTTTCTACCGTAGAATTTGGTCTATTTTTTAAAATTTTTAATTTTATTTGATTTGATTTTTCCAAGACAGAATCTCACTTTGTCACCCAGACTGGAATGCTGTGGTGCAGTCTTAGCTCACTGCAACCTCTGCCTCCCAGATTCAAGCAATTCTCATGCCTCAGCCTCCCTAGTAGCTGGGATTACAGGCATGTGCCACCATGCCCCCCTAATTTTTGTATTTTTTTGTAGAGATGGGATTTTGCCAGATTGGCCAGGCTGGTCTTGAACTCCTGACTTCAGGTGATCTGCCTGGTTTGGCCTCCCGAAGTGCTGGGATTATAGGCGTCAGCCACCACACCTGGCCAAATCTGATCTATTCTTAATAGTTACAGAACATTTGGCTGTGCAAGGTGGCTCATACTTGTAATCCCAGCAATTAGGGAGGCTGAGGAGGGTGGATCACGAGGTCAGGAGATATCAGCCTGGCCAACAAAATACAAAATATTAGCCAAGCGTTATGGCATACACCTGTAGTCCCAGCTACTTGGGAGGCTGAGGCACGTGAATCGCGTGATTCCAGGAGGCGGAGGTTGCAGTGAGCTGAGATTGCACCACTGCGCTCCATCCTGGTGACAGAACAAGATTCCATCTCAAAAAAAAAAAAAAAAAAAAAAAAAAAAAAAACTAACAACAACAACAAACGAACAATAGTTATCAAACATTCAAATACTGATTTATGACCAGAAATTTCAGAAATTTATGATTTAAAAAAACTAAATTTTTCTGCCTTGGGAGATGTTTTATTCTAACTGAACCCATTGAATGGCTATAAATCTTTCCTCACTTCGGAAAAAGACTATCTCTGTCCTCCCACACATACCTTTTTATGACACCATCCACATCCTAGGAAGAAGAGAGAAAACATAAATTAAGAAAGAATAGTCTCTCCTCACTTATAAAGCTTCGTTACATTTCTCCCAGTCCCTAGTGTACTGAGAATGGAGATGGTGCCAGTGTGAAAGATAAAAAAGCAAAGACTTAAGGCAATCATCCCAGAAGACTCATGCGAGGTTTTCCAGTTTTCTTAAAAGTAGAAACAGTTTTCATCCTTGTGGAAGAGGCTTCTGGTGTCTGCAGATAGGACATTTTCAGAAGGAAAAGAAGAGACTGACAATTTGTTTGTCTCCAAATATATATGGCTCTCCATGAAATTATTTAAATACTTAGTGCTTCTTTGATTTATTAAACAGACATACAGCCTAGGCAACACAGCAAGACCCCACCTCTACAAAAAATAAAACAAATTAGCCAGGCATGGTGACATGAGCCTCTAGTCTCAGCTACTTGGGAAGCTGAGGTGGGAGAATTGCTTGAGCCCGGAAGTTTGATCAAAGCTGCATTGAACTAGGATCATACTACTGCACATCACCCTGGGTGACAGAGTAAGACCCCATCTCTAAAACAAAACAAAACAAAAACACACACAAAAATAAACAATAAAACATATAAATAAACTTGTTCTCCAGGCCACTTTTTGAAAAATCAAAGATGAATGAATAATAGTGCTCAAGAAGTTTATGTGGCTTTTGCTGAGGGTATAACAAACAAGTGTATGAAACAAGTATAGGTATTTCTTTTCTTTTCTTTTCTTTTCTTTCTTTCTTTCTTTTTCTTTTCTTTTTTTTTTTTTTTTTTTATGGAGTCTCACTCTGTTGCCCAGACTGGAGTGAAGTGGCACAATCTCAGCTGACTGCAACCTCTGCCTCCCGGGTTCCAGCCATTCTCCTGCCTCAGCCTCCCAAGTAGCTGGGATTACAGGTGCCCACCACAATGCCCAGCTAATTTTTATATTTGTAGTAGAAGTAGAAGACCAACATTGATCACGCTGGTCTTGAACTCCTGACCTCAAGCGATCCACGCGTCTTGGCCTCCCAAAGCGCTGGGATTACAGGCGTGAGCCACCACGCCTGGACTAAGTTTTTCTTAAGGTTGCTCACTTTTCATTTTAGACATGAACGGTAATTGACTTCATTCACTTCCTTAAGTTTGACACACACATATGTGCAGTTCATTTCCAATTCTCTACTTTTACTTAGATTTGTCACTTAAATACAGTTTAGTACATTCAGTAGTGAAGGAGCAACAAGGACCAACAACTAATAATTTTTATTATGTAACACAAACCATACTGTCTTCTCTCTTACACCACATTGTTCATAATATTACTAGTATCTACTCAGTTATTGCCCTAAAAACTACATTTACTCTGAACTCTATAGCCTCTACCAGGACAGTTCAGTCTACATTCTTAATGGGTTGAGGTCGTCTGTTCCTCTTCATCACCACAAATATTGGTTTATTTGTTTGAGCAGATATGTACCGATGCAATGTCTTTGGTCTCCTTTATGCCAGACATAATTTTTCCACATAGATTTCTTTTCAAGAACAAGACCAATGGCTGGATCTACACATACAATCAAATAGTTTTGTTTTTTGTATGAGGACTTTTATGTTGTAGGTAACATAAATCAAATAAAACTGGATTAAGTAACATAAATCAAATAAAACTGGATTAAGTGGTGAAAAGGATTTTCGAAAGGTTAATTACAACTTCAGTCATACTGAAGTTTGAAGCTCAAACCTTGTCACATCAAGATCTGGTCTATGGGCCAGGAGCAGTGACTCACAGCCTATGTTCCCAGCACTTTCGGAGGCTAAGGTGAGCAGATCACTTGAGGTCAGGAGTTCAAGACCAGCCTGGCCAATCTGGTATAACCCTGTCTCTTCCAAAAATATGCACGCCTATAATCCCAGCTACGCGGGAGGCTGAGGCACAAGAATTGTTTGAACCCAGGAGGTGGAGGTTTCAGTGAGCCAAAATCATGCCACTGCACTTCAGCCTGGGCAACAGAGCGAGACTCCATCTGAAAACAAAAAACAAAAATGTGATCAATGTCCTTCTCCAAATTCTACTTATTCTTCTGCATTGAGTTTATTCTCTGTACATGAAGGAAATGTAAATCTCCTGATATAAGCCCCAGCAGAAAGGAGAACTTCTCTTCTAAGTTTTAACATAAAACACTTTTAGGCTTGCATAGCATCTGTCTATGTTGGATCAGATGCCCACCTTAAGAGCATTTAAATATCATGAGTCATATGAAAATAGAAATACAACAACCAAAACTTATGGGCTGTTGCCTAAGCAAGTCTAAGAAGGAATTTTATGGCAATAAATGTCCACATGTGTAAAAACCCAAGAGTTCATTTGTCCGATAGAACCAATGTGTCAGGACAAGAAAATTGCAATAGAAATAGAGTTTAATTCACACATAGCCAGTTGAATGGGAGACTGGAGTTTCATTATTACTCAAATCAGCCTCCTTGAAATTTGGAGGCTAAGGTGTTTCAAGGATAGTTTGACAGGCTGAGGACCAGAGAACGGGGAGTGCTGACTGGCCAAGGGTATAACCATAGGGGTGGGGAAAATGCTCTTTGACTGACTCTACTGACTCTACTGTGGGGTAAGGACATGAGGCCACTTGGTGGATCCAGGTGGAGCCATTCATCATCAGAAATGCAAAAACCTGAAATTACATCTCAAAAAGCTAATTGTAGGTTCTATAATAGTGATGTTATCTATTGGAGTAACTGAGGAGGCTGCAAATCTTAGGACATCTGAAATAATCACTGGTCTGAATTGTCTCCTTTTATTCTCCTAACTTGGTGGTCTTTCATTAGCCTTACAAAGGTGGTTTAGTTTAGGGGAAGGGCTAATATCATTTAAACAATAAACTAAATTTCTCCTCAAGTTAATTGCCTAAGAGCAGTTTGGAGGCTATAAAGGGAATATGGGTTTGTTAGATCATATCACCTTCACTGTCATAATTTCCTCATTCATATAATTTTTGCAAAAGTGGTTTTACATGAAAAAAGAAAGAAAAAATCTCCAATAAACAACCTAACACTACACTTCAGGGACCTAGATGAAGAAACTAAGGCTAATGTTACCCAAGGGAGGGAAATAATAAAAATCAAGCAGACAAATGAAATCGACTAGAAAAACCAATGAAGAGATCAATAAAACTAAGATTTGTTTTTTGAAAAGATAAATAAAATCAACAAACCTTTAGCTAGACTAAAAATAAAAGGGATAAGATTCAAATAAATAAAACCAGAAATGAAAGGGAAGACATTACAACTGATACACAAAAGATCATAAGAGACTACTATTGGTAGTCTAAACTCAGTATATATCTAATATATTGGTATAAAATTTTATACCAGTATACTAGATGACACAGAAGAAAGAGATAGATTCTTAGACACGTTAAACCTACCAAGGCTATATCCCCAAGAAACAGAAAATACAAGCTGACCAACAATGAGTAAGAAGAGTGGATCAGTAATAAAAAGTAATTCATCAGATAAAAGCTCAGGACATGATAGCTTCATGGCTGAATTCTACCAAACATTTAAAGAAAAATAAACCAAAATCCTTCTCAAACTATTCTAAGAAATTGACAGAGGGAATATTTGTACTAATTTTATGAATCCAGGATGACAAGTCCACACAAGAACACTAAAGAAAAAATAAATGTCAGTCAATATACCTGAAGAACATAGATGGAAAGTAAACAACAAAATACTAGTAACTCAGGTTGAACATCACATTAAAAGAATCATTCACTATGACAAAGTGAGATTTGTTTCAGGAGCACAGGAGGGTTCAACATAGGCAAACGTATATAAGTGTTAAAATACTTTAAGAGGATAATGGACAAAAACCATATGATCATCTCAATTCATGCAGAAAACGCATTTGACAATGTTAAATATTTTTTATGATAAAAAAAAAACTCTCAGAAAATTGGCTATACAAGGAAATTAACACAACATAATGAAGGCCATTGATGACAAACCCACAGCTAACATCATACTAACATCATAGCCTCATAACATAACATAACATAACATAACATAACATAACATAACATAACATAAAATATAACATCAAAATGCACTCAAAAGAAGGTACGAGCATTTCTTCTAAGCTCTGGAAAAACATAAGAATGCCCATACTTACTACTCCTATTTGACCAAGTACTGGAAGTTCTTGCCAGAGCAAACACACATGTGACAGAAATAAAACACATTCAAACTGGAAAAGAAGTTAAATTGCCACGGTTTGCACTTAATGTGATTTCACCATTGAAATCTTTAAGACTACAAAAAAAACCTCTTAGAACTAATAAGTTCACAGAGTTGCAGGATGTAAAATAAAGAATTTGTATACACTAACAATTTTTTTTCATGAGAAATCAAGAAAAATACCCCATATATAATAGGTACAAAGTTAAATAGGAATAAATTTAACCAAGGAGTTGGAAGATCTGTACATTGAACACTATAAAATATTGATGAAAGAAATTTAAAAAGACAAGGATAAAATGAAAAAAAAATTGTGTTCATGGATTGAAATATATACATTTTTGTATAAAATCATATTGCCAGAAAAGAGATATGGTTTGACTGCTTTCTTTTTTTCAATTTGGATGTCTTAACTTCTTTCGCTTACATAATTTCTTTGACTAGGACTTACAGTACTGTACTATATTGAATAGGAGTGGCAGAGTGCATATCCTTGTCTTGATCTATGTCTCAAGGGGAATGTTTCCAGGTTTCGCCCACTCGATATGATTTTAGCTATGAGTTTGTCATAGATGGCTCTTATTATTTTGAGGTATGTTCCTTTGATGCCTGGTCTGTTTAGGACTTTTATCATGAAGGGCTGTTGGATTTTATTGAAAGCATTTCTGCACCTATTGAAATAATAATATGGCTTTTGCTTTTAATTCTATTTATGTTGTGGATCACACTTACTGATTTGTGTATGTCAGACCAGC